GCCCAATCAGGGTTGCATGCGATCGTGGGCACGTCGTGATTCAGCCACGACGTGCCCATCAACAGCAAGATTCCCCGCCACCGAGGTAATGAGCTGCCCAGCTCAGCTCCTCTGCGGGGAATCTTGACTGTGGCCACCCTTTTCCTGCAAAGGAGGCCGGGCCGCGTAACTGAAGGGGTCTCGGGCGAGGGCTTCATACGGCCCTCATTTTCATTTTTTTGTTCAGTTTCTTCGTTCGTTTGGCCTACCGTGGCCATGGCGGGCCTTCTAGGCACGCATTTCTTGTTCCGCCGCCAACCTGCTGCTAGAGAAAATACCCGCCGAGACACCTATGACTATTCTCAATGGCAGACGCGCCCTGCGCCCATCCCTCCACCACATCAAGTAGTCCCTCCCGTTCCTCCCACTCCTCCAACGCCTCCTACCCCTTCCGCTCCCCCGGCGCCTCCGGTTCCTCCCGCTCCTTCGTCCCCTCCTGAGCCGCCTGTGTTTTGTGCTCCACGTCAGGGGGTTCTGCAGCTTCTCCTCCCTCCTCGCTACTCGGCGTTTGATGATTACTTGTCCGAGCCCGACCGCACTGGTGGCGCATCGTCTTCCTCCGCACCGTCGCCACGCTGGGGAACCCCGGCTGATTGCCCGTTGGACAAATCCGTGACCGGTGCGGAGGACGACGTGGAGTTTTGGGCTGCCAACGGTCTTCCAGAGCACCGGCCTATTCCCACCTTTCCCCCTCCCAATAAGAAATGGCCCCACCCTTCTCGCAAGAATCGCGATGCCCGTCCTCCGTCCCCCAGGCACAAGCCTACAAGTCACAAGCGGCACTCGTACACATCGCAGGTGAAACTGCAGTGGATTCTCAAGCAGGAGTGGGCAGATGAGCGTGCGGCAGATGTCTCGCGAAACCGGCATCTCCCGAAGGTCACTCGCAGAATGGAAGACCCGGAAGGTAGAGCTGGAGGGCGCGTATGCTGCTCGTAAGCGTCTTCATGGGCGCGGAAGGAGCTCGTGGTATTGCAACATGGAAGCAGAAGTCTACAAGAGGTTCCCTACCCACCGTAAAAAATGTCTCGCAGTCTCGATCGCACGCCTGCATAAGTGGTCGCATGAGGTGATGAAAGAATTGCACCCAGGGGTAAAGTGGTCCGGCTCGCAGCGGTGGACTGAGCGGTTTCGCCGCCGTTGGAATCTGACAACCCGACAGAAGACCCGGGTCGGCCAGAAGCTTGTGGCGAGTGAGTTGTTTTTTTTTTTGTTGGCCGTTCAATGTTTACTTGTTTGTGTGGTTTGTCTCTTAATGTCTGACGGTTGTATCCCAACGCATCACTAATCCTGTGTTCTCTCGTTTCCTCCCATCCATACTCCCAGACTGCGAGACTGATGTCAGGAACTTCTGGAAGTTTGTGCGTCACACCCGCTGCCAATAGAAGATCGACTCTTAGTGGATAATAAACGCGAACCAGACTCCACTGTGGCTCGAGATGCCTGCCGAACGCATAGTCGAGGAGGTGGGCCTGCGCTCTGTGCCCATCCGCAGCGGCCGCTATCAGAAGGAGCGAGTTACGGCGATGCTCGCCTGCACTGCCACCGGTGAGAAGCTAAAGCCGTCGGTCTTCTTCAAACAGAAGACCGTCCCCAAAGGGGATTTCCCTTCAAGTAAGCATTACCGCCTACTGCTGCATGTTTATTGGTTTACTTTATACTGATGTTGTATGTGCGTTTGTGGCTGTGCTGATATCACGGTGTCCGTCCATCCCAACGGTTGGATGGACGCGGGCGGTGTCACCGCGTAGCTCGACGGGGCAGTAAAGCCGTATGTCAACCCCAAGTTCGGAGTGAGGCCCCTCAAAGCGATGCTCGTCCTGGATTCGTACCGCGGGCACCTGACTGCGGAGGTGAAGAAGAAGTTCGGGGAGCTGAACATCGTCCATGCCGTTATCCCAGCTGGCTGCACCTCGGAGATTCAACCTCTAGACGTCGCGGTGAATCGCTCCTTCAAGGCAGCCGTTCGCCAGCTCTACCAGGAGTGGTTCGAGAGCGAGTGGGTCAACACCTTGACAAAGAAAGGTGAGACAAGCAGGCCATGCGTGTGTTGTTTTATTGCTTTGTAGACCTGGCTGACTTTGATTGTTTAGTTTCATGGCAGGCAACATCAAGAAGCCTCCATCCGAGCTAACGCTTAAGTGGATATCAGCGTCTTGGAAGGCCGTGCCCAAGGACTTGATTCAACAAGCTTTCCTCACTTGTGGCATCAGTAACGCCCTGGATGGGTCCCAGGACAAAGATCTGCCTGCAACACAGGCGCGACGACCTCGAAGGCGACGAAATTGACATCGACGATGACATTGCAGCAGATGGCTTTTTCTGCAACAATGTAGAGGAACCCGAGTCGGACTCTGAGGCCGACCCACATGACCCCACCGCAGCTGATGAGGAGATTAGATGTAGAAATTGCTGTAGCCTGTGAGGCTTGTAGGTAGACCTATGGTAGTGCTACTGTAATTTCAAGAAGCCGTAGATAAATTACCGTATGAAGTTATTTAGGTGAAAGTATAACTAGTTGTATAGGTTAGAAGATCATCAAAATGAAAAAAAAAGGGGGGGCGATTATAATGTGTGAGGCAAAGGTATGCGGCTATGATCCGTAAGACTCTAGGGTATGCGCTTATAATCAAGGAGGGGATATAAGCTCCATATGCCAATTAGAAGCGCCAGACACTTATCCTAGGGTGGCGCTTATATCCGGGGGGTGACGGTAACAGTCGAGTAGAGTAATAGTCGTGGTTATTATAGCAATGCAATACATGCAACAAGGGAATCTACCCCTCATATTACATGGCTAGCTAGATTGCTATTTATAAACTTGTACCTCTATCTAAAAATAGTCATTTTCTCTTTCAACCATTATTAACAAGGTCACTACAATACTTCATTGTCTTCCTACAACTTAGCAATTCTTATCATACCGTATCCACTACGATTCTCAGTTGTATCAACATGGTATGAGAGCCAGAGTGGATGATAAGATCTGCCAAGTTCTTGTTCTTCCTAAAAAAAAACTCTTTACAAAATTACTCATTGAATACCTGTTACAAGTTGTCAGAGGTCCACTGGTGATCCCCGATTGATCCTAGGGAAGGGTTACAGACACGTTGGCCTGGGGGGTTATGGGCGCACTGACCCGCTACTGAAACAAGCCCTTTTATCCCAATGGTCTAGTGGTTGGGATTCTGACATGGTATCAGAGCGAAGGTCTCGAGTTCGAATCCCGGTGTATGCACTTCGGGCATCCCAGTGCGGGGGGGTGTCAGAGGTCCACTGGTGATCCCCGATTGATCCTAGGGAAGGGTTACAGGCACGTTGGCCTGGGGGGTTATGGGCGCACTGACCCGCTACTTAACAAGCCCTTTTATCCCAATGGTCTAGTGGTTGGGATTCTGACACAAGTCTGCATCACTATGGCTCCTGAGGGGAAATATACTGCAGACTCTTCGGGCCCACCACCAGCAACGGCTGCTAATGCGTCATCAGCAGTGACTTCCGTAAGCGCCGCCCTTGTTAAGTAGTCCGTCGCTCGCAGAAACGCCCTTGAGAGCCATCAAGACATGAGAATTGACGGCTCAAGCCACGCAAGAGGAGTTGCTGGACTGCCTCTCCAGGGAGAAGACCGTCGCGTCAACTCGGAGAGATCATTTACCTGTGACAACCATCGGGCTTCAGCTCCTGCGCACGACAGTCAACAACGCGCACAAGCAGAGGCAATCACAACCATGCGAACGAAGTTCGCTTTGACCTCAAAGCTGAAAACTTCAACTCAATTTGAAGGCAATGATTTCTACACGTGGAGCTTTGAGTTTGAGCTCCTCGCAACAACCGCGCGGATCTGGATGTACTACGACGGGAGCTTACCGTTTCCGTCGGAAGGAACCATCCAGGAGAAGAATCAGTACTACCACGAGTCCCTTCTGTTGGAATTAAGGTTAATTTGGGTTGCTCCAATAAATATATATAGTGATATATCTACACTATAGTAGTGTAGAATACATTGGTTGGGTTGGGAGAACTTGTGGTGTATACTCTATAGAGTGGACCACCTCCCAAACCCTATAGGTTAGGGTTCTCTCTTGTTGGAACTTCACTTCTTGGAAACCACTTTGGTTCTAGCATGGTTCATGCCCAAGTGGGCTCCTAAAGTTCCTAGGCTTTAAGAGGAAGTTCTAAGACTACTAAAGCTTCCGCTAGTAGCTTAGTCTATTGTAACATGGTATCAGAGCTAGGAAGCCTAGCAATCTGTTGGAATAGGAGCTACTCAAGAAATTTGATCATAACACCTTGGTGGAAGCTAAATAGCTTCCATCCCTCCCGAAGGGCTGCCGAAATTGCACCGTGTCGGACTCTGGACGTGGGAGGGGAGGAGGAGAGAAGAAAACTGCTGGAAATCGTGTGGATCCGTTCGGGAGGACGAGAATAGCGATATCCATTCACGGAGGCGCTCAGTCAACTTTGGCTGATCAACACGTGCAGCATTACGCTGGAAAGGCCTTGACACAATCTACAACATTGCCTCGGGGTCGTTACCAACCGACGAGCAGATCAGACGTAATTCGCGAAATACAGTCGGTGGACGGATTGGAAAATCGCGAATCGGTGAAGATTTAAATCGCAGAAAAAAGATTGGAGGGCAGATGCCGACAGAGGAGGCTAGGGCGCATCCAACAAGCCAAAAATCGGGAGAAACGGTCGAGTCTTCGTTGACGGGAAATCGGCCAACTTCGACGAGTTTAAGCAGCCAGCTCGGGCACGGGATCCAGGAGCGCGACACATCATCGGAACGGTCTTGGAGCAAGGATTCATCTGAGCGAAACAGCTCATCATTCGGACGTTTGAGCATGGAGTTACGCTCTAATAACCAAGAGGGTGTGAATCTGCCTGCATCATCTTCACCGTCACCGCCGTTGCCTCCACCACCACCTCAATGTCAATCTTCAGTGCTCTTGCCGCAAATGGATCATGACTCAGGCAAAGGGAAGCTGGAGAGAGCGCCAAAGTACGACGGGAGCGACTATTGGACTTGGAGCTTCCGATTCGAGCAATGGGCAGAGGCACACGATCTATGGGGGTACATTGATGGTTCGGAGGAGCGGCCTGTATCGGGTGACGCACGGATAAAGTGGAGAGGAGAAATCAGAAGGCATTTGCCCAATTCTGCAATGCCTTGGTGCCAGATGAGTTGATTCGCTTGGTACGGGAGTTCGGCGGCAAGACCGAGTTGGGAAACGCACCTGTTGATGGCGGAGCAAGAGCGGTCACCCGAGTTCCTGCAGGCACAGCAGCGGCATACGCACGAGTGAAGGAGTTCTATCTTCAGCGTAGATTGTGTAACTGGATGGGACTCTCTGAGGAACTCTCTTCCTTGAAGATGAAGGAAGGGGAGGGAGTGGCTGCATACTGGGCGCGTGCCGAGGACTTGAGGTCCAAGTACTTGGCTGCAGGAGGGAAGGAGGAGGTTGAAGAGTGGATAATGAGGGTACGCAAAGGACTACCTCCTCACTTTGAGATGCTGAAGGTAGTGCTGAACAACCAATCACCATCGCTTACTAAGGATCAGCTGCTTACCTCCTTGAGGAGCGAGGAGATGCGGATTGGTGTCGAACCAAGATCGGATGGTGTATCCACTTTTGGAGCGGGTACGAAAGTGGGCAGCAGCGGCAGGGGAAATTGGGACAAGGGCGGAAAGCATGGAGGCAGCGGTAGCAGCAGTGGCACCAACTCGGGCAGAAGGGGTCAAGGAAAAGGCAAAGCGGGAGTGCTTGATTTCCCCTGGGGGTCCAAGGGCATGGCTCCTCGGGGGTTGTGTCATGGCTGTTGGGATGAGGGACATGCATGGCAGCGATGTCCTCATCGACCTAAGGGAGGCATTCCGACATTCTTAAAGCGGGGGGGTCGTGGATCCAACTGCAAGACACAGGTGGCGGATGAGGAGGAGCAGGATGATAAGGCAGAGGCAGTGGTTGGAGAGGCAGTTGCAGCAGTGGGAGAGGAGCAGTTGCGAGAGGGGTGGTGGATTGACAGTGGGGCCAGCCACAACTTTACTCCTTATGCATCGGAGTTCAAAAGTAAGCTTCAGCCACCAGAGGTTTGGGGAGTTAGATTGGGAGATGGACGGGTGGTGAAAGCTATTGGCATGGGTGAGGTGCCATTGGTTGGTGCTGGAGGTCAGCTGATGAGGATTCAAAAGGTCCACCTTGTGCCTGAGATGCACACGCGTCTGCTGTCAGTCCCACACCTCACCTCTTGAGATGTCATTGTCACATTCAAGGGGAAGAAATGTGTTCTTAAACGGGGGGAGAGGGTGTTGGCGATTGGAGAAAAGGAGAGGGGCAGGGACCATGGATTGGTGCGGATGTCTCTTCCTCTTGCTCGGGGCACACAAGGCAGTGCTCTTGCAGCTCGGTCCTCCTCCTCATTTTTCCCATTTACCCTTGCTCATCGCCCCCACAACATTGCAACAGATGGCTCGGGGGAACAGTATACTGGGCTTGGAGATCGGGGGGGGGGGGAGCACTGATTGCTCCCCATATGAGCCTTGCTTATTGGGAAAGTCGGCTCGGAAGCCGTTTCCTCACGAGGCGTCTCGGGCACTTGGGCCTTTGGATGAGGTCCACATGGATTTGTGGGGGCCAGTGCGCACACCGTCACTGGGAGGAGCGGTGTATGTCCCCAGTCTCATTGACGACTTCACCAGACGAGTTTGGTCGTTCCCACTCCCCAACAAGGAATCGGCCAAAGTCGCAAAAGTCCTTCGCCAGTGGCATAAGGACGTGGAGTTGGAGTGTGGGCGGAAGCTGAAGGCTGTTCGCTTCGACAGGGGTGGCGAGTTCTAGGGGGACGCTGTGAAAGCATGGAAAGCGGAGTTTGGCATCAAAACCCAATTGAGTGTCGCAGATACACCGCAGCAGAATGGGGTCGTGGAGAGGTGGCACAGGACGATGGCAGAGGGGATTCATACATTGTTGGTCGACAGTGGTCTCCCTGCTCTCTTGTGGGGCAAAGCATTGATGTGGGTCGTGTGGGTTAAGAACAGGGTCACCCACAGTGCTTTGCCTGCCTCCATCATACCAATGGAGGTGTGGTCCGGCCAGAAGCTGCATGTGGGCATGGCTCGGATTTGTTGTTGCATGAGGAGTGTCATGCTGCATGGGCATGAGAAGGGTGGCAAGCTTGATGCACGGGCTGTCATGTGTGTCTGTGTTGGGGTGGACATGGAGAGCAAGGGTTGGCGCATGCTGGACCCTTCTCTCATGCGCATTCGCATTGCTCGGGATGTTGATTTTCTTGAGAATGTGATGTGGAAGAACTGGGACAAGGCAAAGGGATTTGGGGAGCTTCTGCAGGATGCAGCTGCGATTTCCCAACTCCTCCCTCTTCCACTCTCGCCACCCTCAGCAACGGCTGACGACGTTGAGATGCCACCTTCATCACTGCCACCAGCACCGCTGATTGTGTCGGTGCAGCAGCAGCTAAGTGGCCCCTCGGTCATTCAGCAGAGATCCGCTACACAGGCTACTTCCCCTTCCTCCTCCTCTGGTCAGCGCTCTGTCCCTCTCTCTACGGGTGCCCCTACGTCACCGGCGACTACCTCCCCACCACCGGTTATGGGTTTGCAGGTGTCTGGTATCCAGTCTGGTACAGGTGGTGAGGAGGTAGGGGGGGATGCTGGTGTGGTTGAGGGAATGCTGTGTTTGGCTAGGGAGGTGGAAGGTGTTGCATTGGCAGGTGTGAGCACCGGTGATGTCCCACGCACACTTGCTGAGGCTCTGAGTGGCCCTGAGGGCCCTACGTGGAAGGCAGGCGCTGAGAAGAAGGTAAATGCAATGCGCACTATGGGTGTATGGGATCCAGAGCCGGTCGACTTACCTCTAGATAAGAAGGCCATTGGGGTCAGGTACGTTTTCTACAGGAAAACTGACATGGAGGATAAGGTGTTACAGCACAAGGTTCGCCTTGTTGCTAAGGGGTACACTCAAGAGCCTGAGAAGGACCATGATAAGGTATTTGCCCCTGTGGGCAAGCTCACCTCAGGTCGGGTGCTTCTTGGAGAAGCCACGGTAAAAGGGTGGCATGAACAACAGGAGGATGTTGATCATGCTTACCTCAATGCAGTCATTCAAGAGGAGGTGTATGTGAGGCAACCTGAGAGATTTGATGATGGTATAGGTAGGGTGTATCACTTGCGCAAAGGTCTCTATGGACTCAAGCAAGCGCCTCGTGCTTGGAATGAGGAGATTGGTACCACCCTGATTGCAGCAGGGTTTGACCACACTGCATGTGATGAGGCTCTGTACATCAGGTTTGTGGATGAAGAGCTAGTGTATGTATTGGTGTATGTGGATGACCTCTTGCTTGTGTCTCCACGCTTGGAGCTGATCCGTCAGGTCAAGGAGGTGCTTGCTCAGAGGTACCAGATGAAGGATCTAGGTGAGGTATCGACGTACCTTGGTGTGGAGGTTCGCAGGTCGGTCAAGGATGGGTGGTTGGAGATTGGTAAGGAGAAGTATGTCCGTGGTCTCCAGGGAAGGTTTGGTGATCTGCTGAAGGAGACCCATAGGGTGCATACTCCAATGTCACCCAATTATCTCTCTAAGATCAGGAAAGGTACTAGGTTGACTGAGGAAGGTGTTGCAGCTGATGTCAATGTGTACCAGAGTCTCATTGGCAGCTTGATGTATGCTGCTGTGACCACCCGTCTTGACATATCTTTCACTGTCAACACCCTTGCACAGTCCCGCGTGGCACCAAGATGCATTCACATGCGCGCTGCACTGAGAGCACTCAGGTACTTGGTCGACACAGCTGATCGTGTCATCAGGTATGAGCGCCAAGGTGGTGAGCAGGTTGTTGGGTACACATACTCGGATTGGGGTGGTGAGACTGATGGCAAGAGTCGCTCTGCCTACAACTTTAAGCTGGGAGGAGGAGCAATCAGCTGGTATAACAAAAAGCAAGACAGCATTGCAGCAAGCGTTTCTGAAGCTGAGTACAAAGCTCAATCGGAGGGGGCCAAGGAGGCCATTTGGTTGAGGAGTTTGTTGGAAGAGATGCATGTGGGGGATGGGGGGGCTATTCCATTGCTCTGTGATAATGAGGCTGCTGTCTCCCTTGCCCACAATCCCATTCTCCATCAGCGCACCAAGCACATTAAGGTGGCATGGCACTTTGTATGGGATGCGGTGCGCCAGCAGGAGGTCGAGGTGCACTCAGTACGCTCCCACCTCCAGGATGCCGACATGCTCACCAAAGCTCTTTCAAGCTTGCAGCTGCATAAGAACCTGGAGCGCATCGGCATGCGAGTGATGGCTGCGAAGGCCAAGGCTTCATTCGCTGGAGGGGTTGTGTTTTTATTTATGGGTGAAATTCAATGTTTATTGGAGCAAGGGGGGGTGTTGGAATTAAGGTTAATTCGGGTTGCTCCAATAAACATATGTAGTGATACATCTACACTATAGTAGTGTAGAATACACTGGTTGGGTTGGGAGAACTTGTGGTGTACACTCTATAGAGTGGACCACCTCCCAAACCCTATAGGTTAGGGTTCTTTCTAGTTGGAACTTCACTTCTTGGAAACCACTTTGGTTTTAGCATGGTTCATGCCCAAGTGGGCTCCTAAGGTTCCTAGGCTTTAGGAGGAAGTTCTAAGACCACTAAAGCTTCCGCTAGTAGCTTAGTCCATTCTAACACCTTCTCGTATACACTGCTCTTCTCCGAAATCTCTCCCTCGTCGAGCAGCTTGGCATCCGCTCTACAAATCGGAGTGGGCACCTCCGCAAGTGTCTTGGGAGCACCTGCCCAATTCATACATGGCAACAGATTCGGTTACCATGAGGCGCCTGCTCAATCAACTGACATCAGTCAAAATGCATCGAGGGGAGAGACCGTATATCAATCGGTGCCACAATATGCGCGACCACATCAAGAAGTGAGGCGGAACCATCCCTAACGACACGTTCGTCTCGATGGTCCTCTCCAGACTAGCACCCAACTGGCATCAATGCCGCTCATTGCTCCGCGCTCGAGCAACCATCCCCGAGTCCGTTTTTTGCGCCACACTCCTCTCCGAGCAGAAAGAGATCGATCTGTACAATGAGAAGAACATCAAGCGGGGAAAATGAGTGTTCTTCCCTGGATCAATGTCTTTTGCAAATACTGCAAGAAACCAGGTCACACCATGGACCGATGCTACAAGCGCAAAGCTGCTAACGAAAGATGCGGCAACAACTCACATGGTCAACAACCCTCAGCAACCTCAGCACTCGACAGAGACGTTGTCGCCACCCTCCGTCGCAAGCACTTTGCAAACTCCTACACGCATCTCATCCAAGGACAAGGGAAAAGAATAAGTCTTGAGCTCCATGGTGTGTCGTAGAGCCTTTCGCTGTCAAAATATGTTTACATATTTTATATAATCGTTTGCAGTTGTAGTGTAGATATTGCATCATGTTTGGTGGTGCACCTCCTTATGTTGCTGTTTACCTATTTGTACTTGCCATTCTCATTAGTGAAACCCCATTCCTCTCGACACTTTTCCTCAAACTCGAACTCGATCACCTAACTCACTCCTAAACTACCATGGCTCCTAAGCCTACTACACTCTAGCCATTCTCGTTCATTCTCACATGCTATCAGAGCTACCAACGTTCCTTGCCTATTGCTTCCGCTGCTACTCTGTGTACTGCACGCCCCGTGGCGTGCCCCTCGCGAGACCCTCAATGGCCCCTCGCGGCCCCCTTCGCGGCCCCGTCGCCGCCCTTCCAGGCCCTTCGCGACCCCTTCGCGGCCCCGTCGCCGCCCCTATCGGCCCCTTCGCCAACCTTTCCTGCCCCTCGCGGCCCCTTGGCGGCCCCGTCGCCGCCCCTATCGGCCCCGTCGCCGCCCCTTGCGGCCCCGTCGCCGCCCCTATCGGCCCCGTCGCCGCCCCTTGCGGCCCCGTCGCTGCCCCTTTCGGCCCTGCCCCGACCCTGTCGCGGCCCCGTCCCGGACCTGCCCCGACCCTGGCCCTGCCCTGACCCTATCGCGGCCCCTCGGCGCGGCCCTGCCCCGACCCTGTCGCGGCCCCGTCCCGGACCTGCCCCGACCCCGGCCCTGCCCTGACCCTGTCGCGGCCCCATCGCGACCCTCCCCCTGCTATGCACCGACCCTGCCTCGACCCTGCCCCGGCCCCGCCCCGGCCATGCTCCGTCGCCTGTCGCGGCGCACTGGGGGCACGTGCACCGCCCCCCCCTCTTTTTCCCGTCACCCGTTGCGGCTGCGACGCTCGGCCCCCCCCCAGTGCGTTTTACACTTACTCCTGCAATCAATTATGGGGGCGTGTCAAAATATGTTTACATATTTTATATAATCGTTTGGAGTTGTAGTGTAGATATTGCATCATGTTTGGTGGTGCACCTCCTTATGTTGCTGTTAACCTATTTGTACTTGCCATTCTCATTAGTGAAACCCCATTCCTCTCGACACTTTTCCTCAAACTCGAACTCGATCACCTAACTCACTCCTAAACTACCATGGCTCCTAAGCTTACTACACTCTAGCCATTCTCGTTCATTCTCACATTCGCTACTACGACGAAATTGAATTTCCGCCAATCGCACCAATCCACCCAGTCACACAAAGCCCAAACAACGACCCTACACTCAGTCCCTGGATCGACAAGCCGACCAATATCCCACCTGATTTCGAGCTACCTCCGAGCACGCCGGAGTCTCCCCCCAGCTTTCCTGCAAGGCATGAAAATGATATCTCGCCTTACTGTATTTACGTCGACCGCATCCTCACTCCTAAGATTGCCATTGTCGCGCGACGAAGACGCGACCACTTCAACACGTGGTATCTTGATAGCTGCTGCAGACAACACATGGTGGTATCACCGACATTCATGAGTAACTCCAAGCACATGCAACGACCGTGCGAAATTACTGTCGCAAACAACAATCAACTCCAAGCTTACAACATCGACAAGATTTACCTGCAGTTGAATGTCAAACTCATATACTATAGTCTGTGTAGGCTATAGTGGGGTAGCTTATATGGGGTACAATACTTGAGGGTTTGGTACTTGTACTCCTCATGCTGCTCAATGCAATCATTCTTGTTCACTTCAACATGGTATCGAGCAGGTTCCCTCGTGGGAACTGTTCCTAGGGCCCACCATTTCCTTTTTTTTTTTTTTCCTGCCCGGAGCGCCCTCAGCCTCTGCCCAAGTTGCGCTCCCCTCTCACGGCCCCTAGTGGCCCCGTCGCGCCGCCCTTACGGCCCCGTCGCGCCGCATTTGCGGCCCCGTCGCGTCGCGCCGCCCTTGCGGCCCCGTCGCGCTGCCCTTACGGCCCCGTCGCGCCGCCTTCCCGGCCCCGTCGCGTCGCGCCGCCCTCGCGGCCCCGTCGCGCTGCCCTAGCGGCCTCGTCGCGCCGCCCGTACGGCCCTGTCGCGTCGCGCCGCCCTCGCGGCCCCGTCACGCCGCCCTTACGGCCCCTTCGCACCGCCCTCGCGGCCCCCACCTTCGCGCCGCCCTCGCGGCCCCTTTGCATCGCCCTCGTGGCCCCTTCGCGCCGCTTTCGCGGCCCCTTCGCGCCTCCCTAGCGGCCTCTTCGAGCCGCCCTCGCAGCCTCTTCGCGCCACCCTCGCGACCCCGGCGCCGCTCTTACCGGCCCCGGCGCCGCCCCTTTCTGGCCCCGTCGCCCTACCCTCGCGACCCTGCGGCCCAGCCCTCCCTTCAGCAGCGGCCGCCGCCGTCCCTGCAGCAGCGGCCGCCACCGCCGACCCTGCACGAGCGGCTGCTGCCGTCCCTGCAGCAGAGGCCGCTAACGTCCCTTGAGCAGCAGCTGCCGCTGTCCCTGCAGCAGCCGAGCCGCCCGACCCGCCGTTGTCGCCCAGTCGCCCGAGCCGCCGTTGCCGCCGAGCCGCCGAGTCGCCGAGCCGCCGAGTTGCTGTTGCTGCCGAGCCGCCGAGCAGCCGAGCCGCCCGAACCGCCCGAGCCGCCAAGCTGCCGAGCTGCTGTTGCTGCCGAGCCGCCGAGCAGCCGAGCCGCCCGAGCCGCCTTGGTCCTTCTCGCCTGCCCGGTAAGAGCAGCACCTCTTGTCAGAACATATAGCTTGTACTTATTGTGTAGGCTATAGTGGGGTAGCCGATAAGGGGTACAACCCAATTAGGGTGAGTATTTGTACTCAGTTCATTCATAGTTCATTCATCCTCGTTCACATTTTCTCATGGTATCGAGCAGGTTCCCTCGTGGGAACTGTTCCTAGGGCCCACCGATCCCTTTTTTTTTTCCTGCCCGAAGCGCACCTAGGGTCGTGCCCTTCTTAGCGGCCCCGTCGCGTCCCCTTAGCGGCCCGTCGTGTCGCCCTTAGCGGCCCGTCGCGCCGCCCTTACGGTCGCGTCGCGCAGCCCTAACGGCCGCGTCACGCCGCCCTTTCACCAGCGGCCACGTCGCCGCCCAAGCAGCAGCCCGTCGCCGCCCTTCTCACTGCCCCGCCGTCTCGCTACACGGCCCCGCCGCCCTCAACTGCGGCCCGCCGCTCTCAACTGCGGCCCCGCCGCCCTCAACTACTGCGGCCCCGCCGCTCTCAACTGCGGCCACGCCGCCCTCAACTACTGCGGCCCCGCCGCTCTCAGCTACGGCCCCGCCGCCCTCTGCTGCGGCTCCGCCACCCTCAACTGCGGCCCCGCCGCCCTCTGCTGCGGCCCCGCCGCCCTCTGCTGCGGCCGCGCCGCCCTCAACTGCTGGCCCCGCCGCCCTTTGCGGCGGCCCCGCTGCTCTCACCTGTGGCCCCGCCGCCCTCAACTACTGCGGCCCCGCCGCTCTCAGCTGCGGCCTCGCCGCCCTCTGCTGCGGCCACGCCGCCATCAACTGCCGGCCCCGCCGCTCTCACCTGCGGCCCCGCCGATTTCACCTGCGGCCCCGCCGCCCTCTTCTGCGGGCCCGCCGCTCTTACCTGTGGCCCCGCCGCTCTCACTGGTGGCTCCGCCGCTCTCATCTGCGGCCCCGTCACCTGCTGCAGCGCCGCCCACCACCCGAGCTGCCCGACCCGACCCACCCAGCCGAGCAGCCGACCGCCGCGCCGCCCTACAGCAGCACCGCCGAGCCGCCCGGGCAACCGAGCAGCCGGACAGCCGGCCGCCGAGCCGCCCAACAGCCGAGCAGCCGAGCCGCCCTGCAGCCGAGCCGCCCAGCAGCCGAGCCGCCGTACAGTCGAGCCGCCGGGCAGCCGAGCCGCACTCCACCCGAGCCGCCCAGCCGCCGAGCCGCACTACCGCCGAGCTGCTGAGCCGCCAGGCAGCCGAGCCACCCAGCAGCCGAGCCGCCCTGCTGCCGAGCCGCCCGAGCTGCCCCGTCCGGTGAGCACATCGCCTCTTTCACTGCACTGCCCTCACCCTACTGTCTGCACTGCTATTCTACTGTGGTCATGGCTACCCCTATTGTCCTTGCTTTTGACGCTGAGGGTCGGGCCATTGACTTCGAGGTCTAGGTAGATGACCTGCAGCTGTTCTTACAGTGCGATAGGGCAGACAGCCTCTCTCTCTTTGACCTCACATTTGGCGCTTCCCCTGCCCCTGCTGCTGATGCTGACGCCACTGTTCGCTCCCAGTGGGCCACGCGCGACGCTGCTGCACGTCTTGCTGTGCGTCGCCACCTCCTTACCTCCGAGCGTGCGCACTTTAGTCAGTACAAGAGTGCTCAGACCTTGTACGACGCTGTCGTTGCACGCTACTCCTCCCCTGCCACTGCTGCACTGAGCCGTCTCATGCTGCCGTACCTCTTCCCTGACCTTGCTGCCTTTCCCACAGTAGCTGACCTCATTACGCACCTCTGCACTAGTGACGCTCGCTACCGCGCTGCACTTCCTGCTGACTTCTGTGCCAAGAACCCCCCCCCCCCCCCCCCATGTACATCACCCTCTACTTCTTAGTCACTCGCCTCCCTGACTCCCTTAAGGTAGTCAGGGACCACTTCCTAGCAGTGTGCCCCACCACTCTCACCATTGACCTCCTTGAGAAGGCCGTCCTAGCGGCGGAGAAGAGCATAGTCGCTGTAGGAGCCTCTCGTGGTGACCCCCGCACCCCTGTCTTCGAGGGGTGTTCTCCCTCCCCCCTCTTGCCCTCTGTTGCTTCTGCTGCTGCGGCTGACCTCGTTGGTTTTGACTCGGTCGGTGCTGCGTCTGCCCCTTCGGGGAAGCGCCGCTCAGGCAAGGGCAAGGGGGGTAAGGGCGCTGGAGGAGCTGGCGGGGGCGGTGGAGGTGGTGGTGGAGGCGGCGGAGGGAGCGGGAGTGGTGGTGGGAGTGGTGGAGGAGGTGGGGGTACCAGTGGCAGCAGTGGGGGCAGAGGCGGCGGCAGTGGCGGAGGGAGCGGAGGAGGCGGTGGTAGCGGAGGCGGCGGTGGTGGCGGAGGCGGCGGAGGCGGCGGAGGTGGCGGTGGAGCTGGTCGCGGGTCTACGCAGAGGAGTGGCTCCGGTGGTGGTCCGCGCCAGCAGCAGTAGCGCGGTCGTGAGACCCTGTCCCCTCAGCAGCTCCGTGAGTGGTACACTACACGCCAGCGGGGTGGGGGTTTTGGTCAGTGCACCTACGTCCTGCGCACCGGCGACCGTGCGCGTGAGCAGTGTGGGGGTGCGCACCCCACCCAGCGCTGCTTTGGTCGCCTGACGGACGCATGGCGTCGCCAGTTCCCTGAGGCCACAGAGATCCCTTGCTGGGGCGAGCTGTCTAGGGCGGGAGTTGCCATCTATGATCTTGACTTTGATGCTATTCTTTCTGCCATGTATGCTGTGTCTATTAGTGATGAGGGTGACTGTTACCGGTGTTTTCCGCCCGATCCGGGCATTGAGACTGCTGCTCTAGGAACTGGTGAGGCGGCTGCCCTAGGTGCTTGCGACGCTGCTGCTCTAGGTGCTAGTGCGTCTGCGTCCTCAGGTACTGGTGAGTCTACGCTCTCAGGTACTGCGCCGGCTTCGGCCTCCCTCACCTTCACCCTTGACTCTGGGGCTTCTCGCTCCTTCTTTCGGGACCGCACCACACTC